CAATTTTAATGTGAGATCAAAATGATACCACATTATTTACAAAGGAGCCAGTGGCTCACTTTTGTCTTCTTCTTATTTTTTAATTTTAATTTTATTTTATATATCGTTTTGTTTGGATTATTATTATTATTGTTATTATTATTATTATTGATTAGTTGTTGTTGTTATTATTGTTATTGTTATTATTTTAATTTTAATTGTAATTTAATTTTATTATTATTACATTATTACATAGGGTTTTTATTATACTTCAACAATAATATTATCAATTATATTATAGAATATAATACCATACATAATAGTACTAATTATGCAATATTACCAATTAATAGATTTTATTTAATTTTCATTTGACATTTACATACCAAATAAGCTTTACTACAAAAGTTTGGACGGGAAAAATGAAATAGGATGATTTTATATATATATATATATATATATATATATATATATATATATATATATATATATATATATATATATATATATATATATATATATATATATATATATATATATTATTACCCTAATACCAAATTTATAATTCTGACTTTAAAATTCTTATTATTATTATTATTATTAACATCAACATTTGATTAGTTTTATAAATTCTGTGTAATTTATATATGCACTATGCATAAATTCTTAATTTTCTAGTATAATAATATTTTTCTGCCCATATATATATTAAATATTATTAATTGTATATAATATCTATATATAAATAATGGATGATATTACAAAAATGCCCCTATATTTTGGGGGTAATTTGGCTAGCAGGATTTTACTTTTAATTATATATAGAATAGAATATAGAATATAGATTTCCGTTCCATTTTTACCTTTTTTTTTTTTTTTGAAAGCCCGTTCCATTTTTAATTTACTTTTACTATTGTTTAAAATATACATTTACTATTTATGATGTATAGTATTATTATTGAAATATTTTTGTACAATTTTAGTTTCCATTCCATTTTTAATTAAAATGCAATGATCTAAGCATTTATTTTTTCATATTAGTCAATTATGAATCATTTTTTTATTTGCATTCAACTATTCTTTTTCAATCAATTAGTCCATTAGAATATTAGACGCATTGATATTTTTACCCCATCTTCATTCCATTTTTAATTGATGATCTAGAATATTATTATAGAAATATTTCTGAAGGAGATACCCACATATACAATTTACACCTACACCAAGGCTCAAACTCTAGAACTCCCAGATAGAGGAGCAACCTGATACCAATGGACCACAAGGTCCTTGGTATTTTTAATTTACCTTTACTATTGCTTAAAATATGCATTTACTATTGATGATGTAGAATATTATTATTGAATTATTTCCTTTTCATTTTCAATTTACCTTTACTTGATGATGTAGAATATTATTATTAAAATATTTCCGTTCCATTTTTAATATTCATTCCATTGTTTAAAATTGTGAAAGATTTATGACATAATTGTGATTTGATGTATTATACTATATAATATCAAAATGCAATGATCTGACCATTTCCTTTTCCATTTTAGTCAATTATGGATCTTTTTTTTTTCAATCAATTATTAATATTCATTTCTTAATTTATGTTTCCTTTTCTATTTTTAATTTTAATTTCTGTTTCGTTTTCTATTTTAAATTTCCAGTCAATTATTAATATTCATTTCTTTTTGTTTTACATCCATTCCATATGTTTTTTTTTTTGAATGCTACTGACTCTACATTGTAGTATCTGTTCAAACATACTTTCTCAACCTAATAAAAAGCACAAAAAGTCAACAACGCCTCCACTGAGTCTGAATCTCATAACCTCCCACATAGGAGAGGTCATTACATGTCCATTCCATTTTTAATTTACCTTTATTATTTATTATTGTTTCATTTGTTTGGGTAGGAAATCAAATAAATATAATTTTGTTTTTAATTATAGTATATATAGTATAGAACCTTTCAAAAAAAAAAAGATAGTATAGAAGTATATATACAGATATAGATATAGATAGAGATATAGATTATTATTATTATTATTATTATTATTATTATTATTATTATTATTATTATTATTGACTTGTATCAGATTCTATTTTCCTTTTTATTTTTTTATTTTTTTATTTTACTTTTTTACCACAAACCATGTTATTATTATTATTATTATTATTAAGTGAAATTACTAATAATATTATAGGTAAATTATAGATCCTTTTGTATTAATTTATTTATTTATTTATTATTATTATTATTGAGTTACATATCATATTTCATTTTTTTTTTACTACAAACCTTGTTATTATTATTATTATTATTAAATAGATTATGGATCCTTTTCCATTTGTCCTTTTTACTCTTAACATTATAAGTAAATTATAGATCTTTTTGTATTTTTTCATTTATCATTATTATTGTTATTATTATTATTATTATTATTATTAATTAATATTATTGACTTACTTATCAAACTCGATTTTCTCTTTTTACTGCAAATCTTGTTATTATTATAAATTAAGTGAATTAGGGAATCATTTTCATATTTTCTTTTTTACTCCTAATATTATAAGTAAATTATAGATCCTTTTTGTTTTTAATAATAGTGTAATAGATGACACTTGTGCATAGATGGCTCTTATTATTGACTTACAAATGAGATTCCATTTTCCTTTTTTACTTTAAACCATGTTATTATTACTATTAAGTGAATTATGGAATCTTTTCCATTTTTCCTTTTTTTATTCCTAATATTATAAGTAAATTATAAATCCTTTTGTATTTTTCCACAACGCCACTTCTATTACCAACTCCAGCCACACTCATGATCCAATCTCAGGATACCATAGAAGATGGGTGTTTGCACATACTAATCCCGGGTTTGCTATATAGTTTATTCAAACACCGATGTCTTGAATCAACCCAAAGCTTCCTTTGTGCCAGAAATTCATAAAAATTATGATTTCTATATCAAACACTTGAACTAAATCACCTTATTGACCTCAAAATCATCTTCATTTTCTCAAACACTCCCAACAAAATCTGGTTTTTATTTCAGCCCTTTCAACACCCAAATACCCTTTACATTAACACAACCACACCTAATCATACATCTCTACTACTCACAAGAATATGCTCACTTTTGCAAGAATAGAGAACTAAAACTAACCAAAGTCAAAAGATTCAATCTTTATAACTCTATCAAACAATTTTTAAAAACCTAATCTGATATTTCAGCCACTAAAAGACCTTGACAATAATGAAAGAGTATAGAATACAAAACTCAGTGTTCACTCAATTTGCTCATTAATTCACATTCTATGAGCAATAAATCTCACTTTCAAATATAAATTAACATAATCCATCCAATATAAACAAATTCAAGAAATCCCCACTTATTCAAAAAATTCAAGAAAAAAAAAAAACAAAAAAAGAGGGTACAGTTTTCCCCAAAAATTAAAGCAAATAGAAGAGAGAAAGCCATTGAATCATTCACCTGGGCTGATTGGGCAAAGATCACATTCATCTTCCAAGATTCAATAAAATTTCTGTCTTTCAACCTCTCAATGCTATCCCACGAAAAATGTCACCATATGCATTCCAAATAATGTGTATATATATATATATATATATATATATATATATATATATATATATATATATATATATATATATATATATATATATATATATATATATATATATATGAATATAATATAAAAAAATGCTTTGAATATTATTTTCGTTTTTAGTGTATTCTTATCATGCTTCCCTTTGTATCTGTTTACATATATACAGAATTCGTCCCTCTTCAAACTTTATCCACTTGATGAGCAAGGAAATCTATCACTTCCCGATCAATCTTTATAGATCTGTATCTTCTCCACAAAAATAAATTAAAAAAAAAAAGAATATATCAATATTTTTTCTTACGAATCTGTTTTCTTGTTTAAAAATCAAAAAATACAAAAAAAAACAAAAAACAAAAAACAAAAACAAAACAAAACAAAACAAAACAAAACACAAAAAGAAAGAAAGAAAAAAGAAACTAAGATAATGAAAACCTCACCCGTGCAAAATACGTATCAACCTCAACTGTGGAAGATCACAAGATAATTAGCAAAAGTCAATGAAATAATTAACCTTAGTTGAGATTGTGAAATTGATGAGTTGTCTATGGTCATATAAGTTGTATTTATACACAATAGATGAGATCAAAAAAGCTTAGTATTGAAATTATAAAATGGTAAGATATATTAAAAAAGGTAAAATCTTCCAATTATTTATTTTCTGCCCAACAATACACGACATTCCATATATATACACATTATGTATAAGTATAGCTTTTATATATAAATAAAATACTACACACTAATTAGCTTAATTAACAATAATTACCTTAGTTACTACATATTGTATAACTGCATTGTTCTTCCGGTTATTTATCTCTAATTATTTAATTAATAAAATATTACTAATATAATTATTCCTAATATATTTGATAATAAGACTGCGTATAAAAAAGGTAATAACATTATTATTATTATTATTATTATTATTATTATTATTATTATTATTATTATTAGATTACATAAATGCCCTTAAGTTTTGGGGGGAAAACTTGGCTAGGAGGATTTTACTTTTATATATATATATAGATTCTATTCGGACGTGACACAATCTAATTTGTTACTTTAGTATAATTAAAATATGTGGGTCAATTGTCAAGCACATTGTGCTCAGATGGCATATGGATTAAACTCTCATATGGGAGCCTCGGTGAAGGTGTTAAAAAACAGTGCACACTTAGTGGAATTGACCATTGACCTTCTCCTAGTAGCTTCCTAACTTTTTCTCCGTTTTTGTTCTTATTATTTTAAAGAAATGGCATCATTTACCCTTTTCAATTAAAACTCGTTTCTCTTCTCGCCGCAATTATTATTATTATTATTATTATTATTATTATTATTATTATTATTATTATTATTATTATTATTATTATTATTATTATTATGAAATGAAGGAGATTCGCAACAATATTTCTACTTCATTATGGGGTGCTAGATCATAATTATGTTAATAGTTTTATTTCAAAATGTTAAACTTTTTTAAAGACAAATTAAATGTTAAATTTTAATATGTAAATAAACTAATTTAAATTTTATGAATATGTACTTTTTTATATTTTACATTTATCAGCTTATCAAAAAGCTAAGTTTACCAAACACTTTCAAGTATACAACTCTTCAATTTTCAACTCCTAGCTTAGCTTTTCAGTTTTCAGCTCATTTTTCAGCTTTCAACTAGGTTTGTCAAACATAACATAATAATAATAATAATAATAATAATAATAATAATAATAATAATAATAATAATATATTATTATTATTATTATTATTATTATTATTTTGAATTATTGTTGTTGTTTTAGTCATGCCCTTATATGTCTCTTTACACTTCAACCGTTAATAGTAAATAATTAATTTTACCAAATATATTTTTACAATTCGTTGATCTAATCTGCTAACACAATTTGCTATTCGCTAATACAATCCGCTGACCACTAACCACGGATGGCGAAACAAGTCCCTGTGTAGTATTTATCTTTATATTGAAACCGTGTGGTGTGGGGAATTATTTGGTATGGATAAGTTTGAAGTGTGAGGTCATAAACTCATAACCTCACAAGTACGGAGTACTTTGTAAACACTATTTTGGTTGAATGTTTGGGCCACCAATAATTCCTTTCCTTCAATTCTCAACTACACTCATCTATCATCATCTTCTCTAATCAATCTCTCATGTCTACAGCAGTGTCACAGCGCCTCTCCTTCCGCGGAGTGGCTTCTGAGGCCAAACGGGTAACCACTGCCCACTCCCTCCATTTCTTTGCGCTTTCCCTGCTCTTTCTCTTTCCCTTCTGTTTCTCCATCGTCATCTACCCATCTCTCTTCACCGCTGCCTTTTCCCAGCTTAATGGTTTTCACCCCCAACAATGGCTACTCTCCTTCAACGCCGACCCCACTGATCCCCGAGCCCGACCCATCCTCCTCGCCCTATTTGCTCTCTGCCTTGCCCCTTGCGCCTTTGGCACTATCATCTACAGTACTTTCAATGGACATCACGGTAGACCCGTGACGCTTTCTTCTTCCGTCAAATCTCTGGTGTGCTCCTTCTTCCCCATGCTTTCCACCCTCATCGTCTCTCAAATAATTGTGTGTTTGGTCGGGGTTTTGGCGGCGCTAATTCTGTTGGCTGGGCTTCAAATTGTCGGTGTTGAAGTGAATTACAACAACCCCAGTTGGGGTTTGGTAATTTTGTATGTGCTCCTGGTTTTACCCACCATTTTATGGCTGCAGATCAACTGGTCCTTGGCGTATGTGATTGTAGTGGTGGAATCAAAGTGGGGGTATGAGCCCTTGCGGGGAAGTGCCCAATTAGTGAAGGGGATGAGGCGGGTAGCGGCGTCGATTTTGCTACTTTACGGCCTTGTGATCTCGTTGATGGTGGTTTATTATTCACTGTGGTTTGGCATGGTTGGTCCAAACTTTACACACAGAGAGATTCTCTTCTGGATAGCGGCAATTATAGTGGTGTACAGTTCAAGTTTAGTTACTGGGGTGACCCTTAACAGTTTAGCTGCAAATGTGGTATTGTATATCCACTGCAAAGCCTTGCACGAGAAGGAAGCGTTTCTTGAGGTTGCAGAGGTAGAGAGCAAGGATGCGAGCTTGCCTTTTGGTGATGGCAAGGTTTCTCAAGTTGTTAATCATGTTTGAGACTTGAGAGAGAGCCTTTGTATGGATTTTTAGGCATATATATATTCTGCCCTATTATATTTGATGTAATTCTCTCATGGTGTTACAAATGTGATGTATGCTCATATTTAATTTGTGATTAGTTATATATGATAATATATACCTCTATGGCATTGGCTTACAATAGTAATAATAATAATGTTGTCTAGGGAGGGCTGAGATTGTGTTTGCATGATTGAATTGAAGAATGATGATAGGTTGTTCTTGCATATACTGATTGCCCTCATCTAGTTAATGAAAGACATTTAGCGATTTCCGCCCTAGTTGACTTTTATTTGATAGACTGACTAATTGGCTGACTAGGTGTTCTATCTAGGCACTAGGCGCCTAATTCAGCCGAGGTGTTCTATCTAGACAGCCGAGTTGAGTGCCTAACTTAGTCGAGTCCGGCGCCAGACAGCCGAGTTGAGTGCCTAACTTAGTCGAGTCCGGCGCCAAACTCGACTGAGTTAGTGCGAGTGATTCCGATGCCTAACTCAACAGAGCCAAAGCGCTAGGCGCCCGACTAGCTGCCCCTTAACATTGGTAGAATGTTAGAATGCCATTCTAGCTTTTAATGGCCACAGTATCTTGACATGGGCAAATTATTGTCTGAACCATGGTTCACATAGTTGTGTGAATCATGAATACAAAGTACATTTTTAATATATTAAAAATACATTATTTTATAGTATTCAAAAAAAAGTACATAATGTGCATTATTTAATAGTATGTAAAATAATGAACTTTCAGTACTTTCAAATAATGTATTTTATGTACAGAAATAATGTATTTTTAATATATTAAAAATGTATGTTTTATTTATAATCTACACAATTGTATGTACCATGATCCATTTAATAATGTTTGCTTTACCTGATTGTGAATAAAAAAATTTTAATTATATTCCAGATTTGACTTTATCAGTTATGAATTTGCCCACAGTTTCCATATTGCTTATAAATTTCTTTAAAAAAAAAAAAATAGATGATCAAAAGGAAAAAAATTGGTGTAAAAATGATTCACCGTATACCGCCAATTCAATATTACAGTTACACGTTTAGTACAGTTTAATTAAGTAAGCAACCATACATATATATATAGTTAGGAATCTTAGTTGGTCTACACACTACACTACACCTTCGTCATTCCAGAGTCATAGGGAATCCCAGTTGGCTTGATCCATTCATCACCCTGCAGGAATATTCCAACAGTAAACTGCTGAGCAATATCTGGGCTAATATTCTTCTTGTACCCATTCCAGTTAACCCTAGACGCGGTTGAAGCTCCGGAGCCGCGGTTTTGATACTCCGCGTACCAGAGGGTGTCCAGTCCAAGCTCACCCTCCCATGGAGACCAACCTTCGGGGGCGATGAAACCGTTGATGTAAGATTGCATGATGATCGTCCTGGAGTACTCCTTCCATGGCCGCCCGAGGTAGACTTTGACGGGAGGATTCACAGATTTGAGGGCGGGGTCTGGGATGATGTCGCAGTTTTGGAGGACGAGGCCACCCACCCCGCGGTGTTCCTTTCTCCCTTGCGCGGTCACCATGCAAGCCTGCTTCTCCAATGGCTTCCTCACCACCATCTTGCAGTTCTGGAAGACGGCGGCGGCGTCGCCGAAGATGAAGTCGATGGTGCCGGTGATGGTGCAGTCGCGGTAGTACTGGCGGTAGGCGTGGGTGTAGAGGGTGTCTTGATAGGCGTCGATATGGCAGTTGTGAAATATGGTCATATCAGCTGAAACCCTAATGGCTACGGCTTGGTGCTTGGCTGCCCCTGCGCTGTTCTCGAATCCGATATTCCGTGCAATGAATCCGTCTCCTTGGATAGCAACGGTGGCGGTGTGATAGGTCCCAATCCCGTCTTTGTAACTCCGGGATCCAGTTATCCTGGTTTTGGTTGGACCTTCTCCCACGAAAACAATCTTGTTCATCTTCCTGGGAACCTCCACACGCTCATTGTACACACCGGCCTTAATGAAGATCACAAAAGTCTCGTTGTTTTTGTAAGGAACAGCCTTAAGAGCTTCAACCACGCTCTTATATTGTCCACTTCCGTCCTTGGCAACCACAGCGTCGTGTTTAATGGAGGCCGGATTGGTGGTAAGGAGACGGCGCGTCGCAGCGTCTACAAATCCCGGGAATTCTTCTTCTTCTCCTTCTCCTTCTCCTTTAGTTTCAGCTGTTAATAACCTACGTTTGAAGTTGAGGCCAGCAGGGATTTCCAGGCTCTGGAGGAGCTCTGTGAAGTGAGTAATCATAGCGAGGCCGTTACTGGAAAGCTCATTGGCGGTTTTAAGGAGGTGTTTCATCTTCTCACCCGTGTCGCCGGTGGTGTTCTCGAAGGCATCTATGCAGGTCTGTTGCTGTGTAATGGCGCCGCTCAGCCAAACCTTGAGGTCGTTAGTGTATTCTTTGACGCGCTCCAGGTCAAAATTCTCAACCTTCTCGAAAGACCTCTCGAGATCGTCAATGGAGTTTTTAAGCAGCTCCTTGCACGTGTCGAGAGCGTCGGAAGTTCTGGGGTCCTTGTCCGCCTCCTTGAGAAGCTCCGATTTAGAAATGGCGTCGGTGATGTTCTCCACCGTCACCTTGAACGCCACCTTGATAAGCTCTTTGGGGTCGTCTGTGTCCTTAGCGCCGGCAAGGCTCCTCTCGCAGGTCTCCTTGTAATCAGTTGGGGCGCAAATTTCTTTCACCGACTTTGATGCAGTTGAAATCTCACCGCCGCCAGAACTACCGACGGAGACGGTGGCAGCCACCACGCACGCCACCAAGAAAATGGAAGCGACGCCAGTAACAGCCACCTTCTTATTCTGCTCCGGAGACCCCATTTTTGTTAACCTCTTGAATGGGGTCTCTTACAAAGGTGATGCCTTTGAAGTTTGATCTCCTTTTCTTAGATGATTGAAATGTGCAAGAATTCAAACCCTACTTATAGCATTGTACGGCCACAGATGAAACTAACAACCTTAAATTCTGTTGACGAAATTGAGGTTGAGAAACGTTGTACGGTTAATTAGTTGCATTTCTTGCCTTCTTCAACAAGTTGTAAATGGTTACATATAAAGAATCTTATAATGTTGATGTCTAAATAAATCATAATTCATAATGCATGATTAATTATGAATTGAAACTAATGAATGTCTTTAATTTATGACTTTGTGGAATAGATCGATGTAAATTCTTTAATAATCATTTTCTCTTTGCAATATAAGTTGATTTTTTTTCATTATAGATAGGAATTAATAATGTTATGGTAATAATTAGTCATTTTAATATCATATAAATTATACGACGGTCATTCTATTAAAAAATAATTGTATTTAATTTATTTTTTTTGAAAATCAAATGACTTTGTTATATTAATGAATGAACGGAATAATAGAGTCAGGAGGGACAACGTCCCAATACATAGGATGATCCTGATCGAAAGCTAATGAAGCTAATGTATGAGCATGTAAAGTGAGAGTTCTAGAAACATAGTTCAAAGAAAAATATGTAAATGACGACATAATTGTCCTGCATTGGTCCACAATTACTCCAACGTAAGATAGAGTAGGCATGCGGCTTGAGCGTATCACATTTCGTAGCTCTATGCAATCTGTGAGAAAATCTACCTCTAAAAGACCCCGGTCTTTGAGCCACGAGAGTGCTTCCTTACACGCCAATGCCTCGGCCATAAGAGGTGAGAAAGCACCCGGTAAACTGCCGAATCTCGCCGCTATAAACGTCTCATTGTGCTCGAGAAGCACAATCCCATACGTTGCTTCCCCCGTGGTCTGCTAGTATCCCGCATCGAAGTAACACCTGGGGCGGTGATGCGTCTCGTCTTCCGGCGCAGTGGCGGTAGTCGGCTGCTGCTGATTGCAGTGTATGTCGCTGTACGCCTTCTCGGCCCTTGCTGCTATCATGGCAGTCCATCGTGGCCGTGGGATGGCCTTGTCCCATACAGCCGAGTTTCGGGCTCTCCACAGGTAATATAACACACCAATCGCTAGTCTTGTCTGATCATCTGTCAGAATATTTAACACTCCTATGAGCCATGATGAGAAGTAATTAGTTAGGATATTCGTGATAGGTAATCCCGAAATATTCCAAACCAATTTAGAGTAATCACATAAAATCAAAGCATGTATAACATTCTCCTGTGTCTGCCCACACATTGGACATGTAGGATCCACTTCTACCCTCTTTACAATTAGATTATTGGTGGTGGGTAAAATGTCACATACGGCTCTCCACAAAAAGTTCTTCCATTTGGGTGGTACCTTTAATTTCCACAAGCACCTGGGTTATTCATATATTCTCCCATAATCTGTCTGTAGGCATTTTTAACCGTGTACATCCCTTTTGGGTCTCCTACCCAATACCATGAGTCTTCATAATCTGGGCTTACAGGTATCCTGGTGATTCGGGCAACATCCTCAGGAATGAATAAATCAGAAAGAATATGTGGATCCCAGGTATTTGTACTTTGATCAGTCAAACCAACTACTAATGCCTCCCTTAACTCATTAGGCATGAGCGTTTGTAAAGGACTGGGATCATCTGGTAACCAAGGGTGACCCCATATTAATGTAGCTTTCCCATTCCCAATTCTCCGACGTACCCCAGAACAGACAAGATCATGTGCAGCCATAATACTTCGCCAGCAGTGACTTGGGCAATTTCCTAGGGTGGCATCAACAAAAGTTGTGGTAGGATAGTATCTAAGCTTTATAAATTCTCGCCACCAAACTGGTTGGATCAGTAAGAAATCTCCATGCCTGCTTCCCTAGCATAGCCAGATTAAACACCCGTAGGTCCTTAAAACCTAATCCACCATACTTTTGCCTGCTTCCCCAGCATAGCCAGATTAAACGTCCGTGGGTCCTTAAAACCTAATCCACCATACTTTTTAGGGACACACAACTTATCCCAAGCCTTCCAATGAATTCCACGATCTGCCCCACTCCCCCACCAGAATTTATTCATAGTCTGCTGAATAGATAAACATACCGTCTCAGGCAGCAAAAAAACACTCATGGAAAATGTAGGCATTGATTGAGCCACACTTTTCAAGAGTACTTCCTTTCCTGCTTGTGAGAGTAGCTTTTTACTCCAAGAACCAATCCTCTGTGTAATTTTTTCTTCCACATAAGCAAAGACTGCCCTTTTATTCCTTCCTATAAACGATGGTAGGCCAAGATATTTCCCAAAATTGGGTGCCTGTTCCACACCCAGACAACCCGCCACTTGTCCCCTATGCACATCCTGGGTATTTTTGCTAAAGCATATATTTGATTTAGAGAAATTTACAGCCTGCCCAGACAATTTTTCATATCTAATCAGACATTGTTTAATAACAGCCGCTTCCTGAATATTTGCTTTAAAAAACAGCAGGCTATCATCTGCAAAGAACAAATGTGAGACTGGCGGCGCCCCTCTAGCCACTCTACACCCATGTATAGCTCCATCCATTTGTGCCCTCTGTAAAAGCATTGAAAGACCCTCTGCACAAATAATAAATAAGTAGGGTGATAGAGGATCTCCCTGTCTGAGCCCGCGGGTGGTGATTACACGCCCCCCCACTCCCCCGTTGACCATCACCGAATATTTCACTGTCGTAACACATAGCATAATGAGTTGGATCCAATTTTCATTAAACCCCATAACTGTCATCATCTTCCTCGGGAATGGTCATTCCATTTGTTGTAGCAAAAATAAGATGTGAGCTCGGGTGTGTTATGTCGTCCTCAAGGGATTGGGGGTTATGGCACGCAATATGCAATCACAAGAAACTAGGCACTAGCATAAGGAAATCAACAAGAAATTAAGCAAATCATAACGAGATTGAGGCTACGCTAACTAAACAAAGTAACACAAACACATATTAACAAGATGTAAACACGAAATAAAGAAATAGGGCTCAAGCTAGGGAACATTATCATCTAGATGCTTTATGATAAATCAATCAATGATATCTTCCTAAACTTTGGATCAAGATAGTAGCCATGAGCTTGATCCTTTTCTTGATCTCTACTTCTTTTCTCTTCTTGACTTTCCTTTTCATTGGCAAGTAAAGAGAGTCTTGGGTCTTTCTCATACACCAATAAGAAGTGGCAATCCTTTAATTCAAATATTGGCCAATGTGGGCCAAAACTCTCAAGAACATTGACACCTCCCGGTTCCCAAATTATTCTAAAATCCTCATTAATGGGAATGTCATCCAATGAAGGGCATTCCTCATGTGTGCCACAATTTTCATCAATTTCATCATTCTTGAGCACTTCTTTACTTGGACCATCTCCAAGTTGCTCTTTATCCCCATTCCCTTGCAATTCTACACTTCCCCAACTTGGTGTCTCCATCTCAATGCACTCATCATAAACCTCATCATCTTCATCTTCAAGTTCATCACCCTCCTTTTCATTTCCATCAACCACATGACCTTCATTTGGCAAGAGTAATTCTTGTAGAACCTCTCCATTGGAAGGTAATTCTTGAATGGGTTCTTGAGTTGCCAAACCTTGTCTTTGAGCCATTATTTGATCCATTCGATTTTGTAGCTCATTCAATTGCATAAGCATGTTAGCCATCATGAACTTCATCTCAGACTCTTGATCAAATGGTTGACATTCTTGTTGAGGTTCTTGGTAAGGGACTTCTTGAAATTGGTCTTCATATTGTTGTTGAGGTTCTTGATGTAGAGGTTCTTGAACTTGTCCTTGATATTGGAAATTAGGATCAAAGATGTAGCATCCTTCGGCTTCATGCGGTCATCTACATATGGCACACCAAAGAGGTTGTGGCATGAACATTGGTGGTGCACCTCCTTGAAAAGCTTTTTCATTGACATTGACATTATATTCCAAAGCTTGTTGTTGATCATCTTGATGAGGCACTTGGTAAGTGGGAGTCCAAATATGACAACTTTCCAAAGCATGAGAACCACCACATATAGCACACCATGGAGATTGTGGGTCCAAAGCTTGAAAAGTGTTTTCTTGAGGAACTCCTTGACTCATATTGACACCACACTCTTAACGAAAAGGTTGACAATCTTGAGGTGGTGTTGGACTTGTAAAGTTTAACTTGTAACAATTCTCCAATGCATGAGCTTCACCACAATAGGAACACCACTTAGAATAAGAAAGGAATGATTGAAGTGGACCACCTTGAAAGGTCTTTATACCCATTTTGATGAAATCGGGCAATGACATTCTTTGCTCTTGGAAATCCTACCCCTCTGAAAAAATCGGTGTTTGTGCATGGACAATTGTATGTGATTTTGTCTAGAGTTAACAGTCCAAATGGTCTTAAAGTAGTGGTATTAGGTGAGAATGGTGAGTATACTTCTTCAACAATAAATGTTGTATATCAAGAAGTTTTTAAAAATTTGCAATTAAATATATATATATATATATATATATATATATATATATATATATATATATATATATATATATATATATATATATTCATATTTTGTATTAAATAATTATATACTTTCTTGAGATGTGTATTAGTTATTCAATTTTTTTTGAAATATAGTTAAATTTTTATCATGTGCATCACACGGGTGCTCATAAATAAAAGGAGTTCTGTTTTTCTTTTTGGTCAGATACTTATTTAAATCATCTTATGACATATATACATGTATCAACTGTTTTGGGCCAGCAACTTGATTCATTTTTCAATCATGGAAGAATATATTACTTTAAAATTGTAATTCAATTTATTATTTGAATTTATTATCGAATATGCTTTTATATATATATATATATATATATATATATATATATATATATATATATATATATATATATATATATATGATGCGTAGTATATTTGCAAACAAATAATTCTCGGAGTACGAGTTATCGATCCACAGGGAAGTGGTTGTATCAAGCACTAGTTACTAACTTATTCATTAGAGCTAATCCTAACAATTACTTAGATGACTGATTGGCATAAAATAAATAAAATAAAACAGAGGTTCGGGATTTTGAAAACAATAAAAGAGAAGTTGAGATTCATGGGATTCAAGTATTTAATCACCTAGTGCCAATTATCGTTTGCAATATTTAGTTTGGAATTAAGACTTGTATGGGAATGCAAAGTGGAACAGAATTACTCCCGTAATCTCTATTCCTAGTGAATTTCCACTTCCGTGGCTTAAACACCCAATAAGATCGAAGATCAGCATTCAATTATTCCTAATTACTACTATCTCCCGATGAGCAACAATCTAGAATAAACTTCCCCTAATAAGTTCCCCTTTCCCAAGGTCCAACCATTAGGTGCAATTGTGTGTGCCCTAATTTATGCCCCAACTCTCATTGGTGACACAAACATGGCTATGAAGCTAGTAACTATGGCCATTAATTACAAGCATCAAACAATATTATCACGATTGCAACACAAGTATTAAACCCAAACAATAATATATTAAAGAAACTGAGAGCTCAGGCACATAGGTTCATACACACTTTTACCCAAGAATCTCTAAAGAATTTAGCCAAGCATGGCTAAATTATACATAGAAAATATAAATAAAGAATTACAAATCATCAAAAGAGTACAAGAATTAACCAGACGATTTTCCCAAATCTCCCTAGTCTTCTTGCTTTCCAAGACAACTTGTGGCTCTTGATTTCTCTCCTTCTTGTCTCCAAGAATCTCTAAATTCTGAATTCTAGACTATACAATTGTCTATTCTAATTATTTACTCTAAACTAAAACTCATTCTCCTTAGGGTTGAGGAAAGTGGGATTTTATAATAGGTACAAAGTTGGGATCAACCCTTGAGAAATTAGGAATATTCCTATTTAATAAATAAGAAATTGCCGTCTTTAATCATTTGATATTTCTGCCACCATATGATTAGGAAATTACTATCCTTTCTTTAGCTTTGGAGAATGCCACTTTAAATTAGGAAGTTTCTAAAAATCGCGCCCATTGCAATAGGTACGGTTTGTAAGCTTATTTTTACCATTTTCTCTTATTATTTAGACTTTAATATCTTTATAAGAGTTGTAGCCCTTCGAGTCTTCTTTCCAATGGCGTAGGAATCACCTCCATCGGACATTCCTATCATGAGATATGATCAAAATACTAAACTGTCGCCAATCTATGCGAGATGAAATGTTACTAGAAATTTTCGACGCGTCGAGTTTTCTGCTGAGTCATATGTTGTAGCCCTTCGAGTCTTCTTTTCAATGGCGCAAGAATCACCTGAATCAGACATTCCTAGCATGAGATATGATCAAAATACTAAGCTGTCGCCGAATTCAACGGGAATTACAACTCTTCGGTCTTTTGATTCACTTTTGACTCCAATTTTGTCCTAGGACTTCCCTTGCTCATAACTTTGACCCACAATGGTTCAAAAACACTAACAAACACCGTAAAACATTCAAAACAAGTGTGAACCATAATTAAATGATAATAGCAAGGAAAACATGTATTAAATAAGCAAAATTAATGAACTTAATTACTGAGATGATTCAAAATAACTATAAAAACAAGCACAGATGTGATAACATCAGTGTATATATATATATATATATATATATATATATATATATATATATATATATATATATATATATATATATATATATATATATATATATATATATATATATATATATATATATATATATATATATATATATAGAGAGAGAGAGAGAGAGAGAGAGAGAGAGAGAGAGAGGAAGGTTCAAGTGCGGCAGTGCAGTTAATTGTAGGCTATTAGATTAGATAAATCCAACGAATCACATTCATCAAGGCTTTTTGATAAGTGAATAATTGTTCATATTTATACCCCATATTTAGCCTTGTTTTGCTTATGAAGTGTCACAATGTTGTTCAAAATGATCTTTATTTTGCTCATTTGATCCATTATGCACAATTCATTATCTTTGAGTAGAAATGGAGGATTTTAGATCATGTTGGATGCATTTGGAGTCAAGGGGAGCCAAGGTGAAGCTAAGGAGATGGATGCAACACTTCCAAAGGAGCCAAAGAGTGATGTTTTTAATGGTGTTGATCATATGGACAAATTAAACCAAGACAAAAGTGGAACAAGTGTCAACAAGCTGAAATTCTCGCATGGATTGTCCACTGTTCTGTTTTCAGGTCATATCTCGGTCTAGAAGTATCCAAATTAAGTGATTCTTGTTCCATTGGAAAGAAGACTCAAAGGGATACAATTCTTATAAAATCATCAAAGCCTAAAAAGGAAGCCACATAGGTCAAAATCATCATTGAAGTTGAAATTCCAAACTTACAATTCAAAACTGACCACTGTTTGTTTTTTGGACCATATCTAGGTCTAGGAATGTCCAAAAGAAGTGATTATTGCGCCAATAGAAAGAAGACTCCAAGGGCTACAACTTTCATGAAGTTCATAGTTCCAAATTCTGATGTTTTGAAGGCCAAAAGACACGGACAAGTACACGGCCGTGTCTATGGCCGTGTATTTTCTGTGCAATTCCAGTGTTCACTGCTGTTTTTGGACACGGCCAGGGACATGGCCGTGTCCCTGCGCTCTGTTTTATATATGCACGAATTTTGGTCATTTCTACTTGGTTTTGACTCTTGTTAGAACCCTAGACACTCTCTTTCATTCTCCTTCATATTTTTAGGTTAGATTAGGCTTAGATTTATGTTTCTTAACACTTTTGAAGCTTGTAATCTTGGATTTGAAGCTTGGGTTCCAACATTTGAAGATTGTTCTTCCATTTTCAATACATAAGTTCTTCTTCCTTTTATCTCTTTATTTTGCAAGATTTATGTTTCATGCTTGTGTTCTTGTGTTCTTTATGCTATTTAATCATGAGTAGTTAGTTTATGGACTTGAGTTAGGGTTGTATTTCATATCTTGATGCTTAGTTTGTAATTATCGTAAAAAAGGGGAAGAACTCTAACCTAGGGTTCATGTGTTTGTGAAGGTTTCGTGTTTATATCTTGTTAATGTTTGATGTACACATTCATTAGCTTGTTTTCGGAGGATTCCTTGCCTCAACGAGAGTTGGGTGATGAATCCAAGCCACCCCTTGCATAAACCCGATTTCTTCCTACGAATATAGAGGAAATTGGGGGCTTTAGATGCTTTGTGTGCATGATGGACTTGGAATTGATTCACCACGAAAGTGGGGCAATGCATTCCCGCTTGATTCCTTGGTTACTTGTTCTCCCTAATCCCTTAGGTTGTTAAAGCAATTAGATGATAATGCTCCCTAGCTTAAGTCCTATTTCTTTATTTCGTGTTTACATCTTGTTAATTTGTGTTTGTGTTACTTTGTTTAGTTAGCGTAGCCTCAATCTCGTTATGATTTGCTTAGCTTATTGTTGATTTCCTTATGCTAGTGCCTAGTTTCTTGTGATTGCATATTGCGTGCCATAACCCCAATCCCTTGAGGACGACATAACACACCCGAACTCACATCTTATTTTTGCTACAATCAAAAATTAGCGCCGTTGCCGGGGATTGGCAATTTGGTGGTTCTATGTGATTGCTTGTTTTCATTTGAGTTTAGGGAATCTTAGGAGACTAAGTTTTTTCTTTCTTTTTGTTTGTTTTTATTGTTTAAAGAGCTAATTGTCTTATTGATGGACAATTTAGTTATGTGTCCTCACAAGTGCACAAGTCAGTAGTAACAGGGTGCAAAAGCAAGGGTCGAACCCAAAGAGAATTGATACTAAGCAATTTAATAACTTGCTATAATGGGAAGCAATAATCTTAAAGAATTTAAATGAAGTTTCAATCGCAGTAAATTAAACTAGATGAAAACAACTTAGAAAAATATAATAATCAAAAGTCGAAAAATAGAATTGACCATCAAAATGGATTAAACTAAATGAAAACGCATGCGAAAATAAAGGCATGAAAAATAATAAATTAACTACGAAACCAAACAGCTAAGGAATAAAGGCTATATTAACTCAATTAATTCTCTCAATAGATTAACTCATGCTAAATTGATCAAATTCAACTTAAATAATGTCAATTCGAATCATAAGATAAAACATAAGCAATTGACAATATTAAAACTAGAACTACTGCAAAAGTTTCATGGTAAACTCATTCACGTTTCTAGAAGGACAATATAGCAAACATATTGAAATTAACAAGAAGCATACACAGTATCATTCTTTCACCTAGTAAATTATATAGATTAATAAAAACAAAAAGAATAAAGTGAAAGAAATAAAATTGAATTGCTATGAAAGAAAGAAAGAAATTGCCAAATGAATTACTATGCCTCAAAATAGAATTGTAGCTGCCATATTGATGATCCTCTGATGTGAGGTATGTTCTCTATTTAGGTCTGTTCTCTATTTATAGTGTTCAGGCCTCCGTTCTCCGCTCAGATCGCCAGAGGAATTGGTCTGCGGAAGATTGGTTCTTGTCCGCTGAGCTTGCGCCTCTGTTCTCTCGTGCGTCGACCGCCATTGACGGAAAGAAGGGAGAAGAACCGCTATTTCATGGACTTCAAACATGCTGATACAATCTTATTAACTAACCTAATAATAATAATAATAATAATAATAATAATAATAATAATAATAATAATAATAATAATAATAATAATAATAATAATAATAATAATAATAATAATAAACTAAGATCAAGGAATTAAAGGACTAACAAAATTTAAATACTAAACAAATTTAATAATAACTATACTAAAATTGAACAAAATTAATATTTATTACAAAGGAAGGGGGATACCCATACAATCTATGCCTACACTGAGGCTCGAAACCTAGACCTCCCACATAGGGGAGCAATCCGATACCAGTGGAACTAAAATTGAACAAAATTAATAAAGCTATTAAATATAATATTAAATAAAAATATATATTAATTAATTAATTAATTATTAATTATTGTAAATAAACTATAAAAAAATTATATATAAAATAACACAAAAAATAATGTTTATCACTTACCTTGATTGAGATTTGGTTGAATGATTTTTTCTTTGTGCATTCACTCTTAATTGAAAAGGAGGAGTTTTTACCACTCAATCAAAAACTTTGAATCATGGTTGATGAGGATAGTACTCAAAATTTGTATCTATCTCAATGAATTGAATGAATGAGCCAAACAAGTGGTTAGTTTGGTGATGACATGAAAACTCCTCCTATCTAGTCGATATATAGTACGTTATAGTAAAAGTAGGTTTAGGATGAAATCCTTGGCCGGGTCTGATGATAGCTTGCTTATTCTACGGCTGTAGAAATCCAGGAGAAAAGGGGATCTGGGCACGCCCGAGCCATTGTTCATCAGCCATCAGGAACGGTCCAGGAGTAAACTGCTTAGCAACCTCTGGAGAAATGTTCCTCTTGTAACCCTTCCAATTCACCCTTTTAGCGGTTGAAGCTCCTGGGCCGCGGTTTTTATACTCTGCGTACCAGCAAGTGTCCAGTGCAAAGTCGCCCTGCCATATAGACCAACCTTCTGGGACGACGATGCTAGAGGTAAACTCGTACCTCCAATTTGTGTGTGTTGCGATAGTCAAGCCAAAATTGGTTAAGTACAGAGTTTGATGTGGAATGGTAAGTCTAGACTTATAAGTCAAAGACATAATACCATTAAACAATTTCTCACAATAGGGGTTATCTCTGTTGATTACGTGATGTCAAAAGATAACGTAGCGGCCGCTAACTCGCTAACCCGAGGGTAAGCAAATAGTTGTGGAGAAGTTGGAACAAGGAATGGGTCTAAAGCCCTTGGACTAAAAGTTCTATAGTGGACACCCAACCTAGCTAGCACCTAGGTTCAATGGGACAACTGAATTATGGAACGGAGCGTGTCACTGTTGGGTCTCGGACTTCCTACCACTCCTCGTTAGAAATAGTGGCTCCCGTGCAAGGTTAGCATGTTGATGCTTTAATGATTCGAATGTCGATTAACATGTGTGAGTATGCGGGATACTCGGAAAAGAATCACCTATGTGAGAGAGAAGTGAGGGTCGCTTCAAAGGAGAATTGATGGGCACAATTCTTCACAAACTCTTGCAGAACCAGGACGGTGACCCACGACCAAAATGGGCACAATCATGAGAACAGAGCATGGTTGGGAGGTTCCTGTGTGAGATATGTCATCGTCTACACAAACGGCAGTCGGTTCAAAGACATCGCGTTCTACCGTACAGCTAGTAGAGTAAACATGTCTTCACAAGGGAAGGTTCAAAGGGTATAGTGATCCCTACCTATCCTAGCAGGGATCGACCGTTGAACACAGTTGTTTCCAATTTCAAAATATCCTGAAAATCAATTTTCATTCATGTGGGGGATTGTTGGAAAAATAGCATTAAAATGACATTTTGAGTGATTATTTTGTGGTACAAATATATGTGGGATCCACTTCTGATTTGGGTCGGGTCAATGTGGATTCGGGTTCTTCGTAGTGAGACGAAGAATTTGATATAATGTATGCTCAAAATAAGTAATAGGTGAATGAGAAATTGATTCTCAAAGTGAACCTATTTGAGAGAAGTCAAAAACTTAAGTTTTAGATGCTAATTAAAATTAGCATTCTAATAACTTTCGTGGCACT